GCATACATATACTTTCATTCCCAGAGTTTTAACTACAACTTCTATATAAATGATCCCCAAAAATGTCTTTCCAATCTTGACTTCTGTACTTCAAGCCCATTTTACTAAATGTCACATGGGGTGGAAAACCTGTGGCCTCAAGGCCACATGTGGCACTTAGCTCTTCAAGTGCAGCCCTTTGACTGAATCCAAACTTCACAGAACAAATCCCTTTAATAAAAGAATTTGTTCTATAAAACCTGGACTCAGTCAAAAGGCTGCACCCAAAAACCTAGAAGATTACATGTGGCCTTGAGACCTCTCTGGTTACCCACCCGTGGAGGATCGCCACATGGAAATTCTACAAGCACAACAAATTCAGTATGTCCAAACGCTGAGCCTGTCATCTTCCTTCCAAACCTGCTTTTCCTTTCTGACTTCATGACTTATGTTTGCAACATCCTGCCACAACTCATGTTTGAAACTCTGCCCCTAACTTTCCAGTCTTCTATCTCGTCTGTTATCAAAGTTATGTCCATTCTTTATAACATTGATCCATACTTTCTTTTCCAACAGCCAGCCGTTCAGCAAATGCCTTCGTTATAATCTACCTAGACTATGTGTGTATATGCACATATATATATACACAAACATATATACATATACACACATATACATACATTACTTACCTTACATTCATTTTTTAAAATTTTGAGTTCCAAACTCTTTCCTTCCCTCCTGCCTCTCCCCCACGCATTGAGAAGGCAAGAGATATACCAAATGTAAATTCATGGAAAACTTATTTCCATATTAGTTATGTTGCCAAAAAAAAAGCAAGAAAAATAAAGAAAATTTAAAAAGTATGTTTCAATCTGTACTCAGAGTTCATTGGTTTTCTCTCTGGACGTAGACAGCACTTTTCATTGTGAGTTCTTTGGAATTGTCTTGGATCATTGTATTGATTAGAATAGCTAAGTCTCTCAGAGCTGATCATCGTTATAATATTGCTATTACTGTGCAAATCGTTCTCCAGGTTCGACTCATTTCACTTTGTATCACTTCATATCCGTGTTCCGAGGTTTTCCCAAAACCATTTTCCTTGTCATTTCTTATAGCACAACAATTTTCCATCACAATCATGTATCACATTTTTGTGATTTAGCTATTTCCCAACTGATGGGTATCCCTTCACAGTTTCCAATTCTTAGCCACTGCAAAAAGTGCTACTATAAATATTTTTGCACATATAGGTTTTTTATCTTTTCTTTGATCTCTTTGGGATACAGACCTAGTAGTGGTATCACTGGGATAAAGGGCATGCAGTTTTATAGCCCTTTGGGCATTGTTCCAAATTTTCTCCCGAATGGTTAGACCAGTTCACAATTCCACCAACAGAGCATTAGTGTCCCAATTTTTGCACATCCCCTCCAGCATTATAATTTTCCTTTTCTGTCATGTTAGCCAGCCCTATAGGTGATAGGAAGGGTTTATTATCCATTCAGGGAGATGAGTTTAGGATCAGGGACAACATCCAGATTTGGTGGCACTTACCAGCTTGCTGAAATCCCCACATTTGTTGGGAACTCCAGATGGATGGAGAGTCATGGCTGCAGCAAAGCTATGCATGGAAGTCTACTGTTGAAATGCATCTTCTTTGTAAACAGGAGTAGCAGCATGTGTACCTGGAGCTTAACACTTCTCTACTTCAAAATAAAACAGCCACGTTGCTCAATGACTAACATTGATAGACTTAACCCTTCTCATCAATACAAGGATCTAAGACATCTCCAAAGGCCTCATGTTGGAAAATGCTATCCACATCCAAAGAAAGAACTATGGAGTTTGAATGCGGACTGAAGAATAGTATTTGCTATTTTTTTTTCCCTCTGTTGTGTTTTGTTTCCTCTTTCTGGTGGTTCCTCCTATTGGTTCTAACTCTTACCTACACCATGACTAATGTGAAAATACGTTTAATAGGAATACATAGGTATAGCCTACATCAGATTGCACACCATCTTCAGGAAGTAGGGGGAGAAAAATTTAAAACTCAAAAGCTTATGGAAGTGATTGTTGATAATTCAAAATAAATTAAATTTAAAAAATTTTTGGAATTTTGCTATTATATTTCTTGGCGTTGTCAATTTGGGATCTCTTTCAGGTGGTGATTGGTGGATTCTTTCTATGGTTATTTTCCCTTCTGGTTCTAGGACTTCCGGGCAGTTTTCCTTTATGATTTCCTGAAAGATACTATCCAGGCTCTTTTTTTCATCATGATTTTCAGGTAGTCCAGTAATTTTTAAACTGTCTCTCCAGAGTCGATTTTCCAGGTCGGTTGTTTTACTGATGAGGCATTTTACATTTTCATCTATTTTTTCATTTTTTTGTTTCTGTTTGACTGATTCTTGCTCTCTCATAGAGACATTAGTTTCCATTTGTCCAATTCTAGTTTTTAACAGATTGTTTTCTTCTGTTAGTTTTTGTACTTCCTTCTTCAACTGGCCAATTATGTTTTTTAGGGACTTGTTTCCTTCAGTATACTCTTCTGCTAGGTTTTGTACTTCCTTTTTCAACTGGCCAACTATGTTTTTTAGGGACTTGTTTTCTTCAGTGTACTCTTCTGTTAGTTTTTGTCCTTCCTTCTTCAATTGGCCAATTGTGGTTTTTAGGAACTTGTTTTCTTTGGTGTACTTTTTTTCCAACTGGCCAACTGTATTTTTGAAGGATTCTTTTACCTCTCTCATTTGACTATTAAAATCCTTCTTGAGCTTTTCTAAGAAGGCTTTTTGGGCTTCAGACCAGTTCATATTCCCTTTTGTTGTTGCAGATGTGGGTTTGTTGACAATACTGTCCTCTTCAAAATTTCTGTCTTGATATTCACTCTTCTCATAATATGAATCTATGGTACATTTCCTTTTACTCATGGCGTTTCTTTATTCCCTGGCCTTTAAAGAGACTGAGCTCTCCTGCTGGAGATCAGAGGGTACTGACCCAAGCTTCTTGTGTTGGGAGCCTAGGTCCTGGTCACTGGCTTTGCGTTCTGGGGCCTCTTATGCTGGGAATTGGAGGCTGTAGGTTTCTGGCAGCTTACCTTGCATTGGGCTGGAATCAGCAAGGCTGGAACTTTCAGGCAATTCTAGGTTACCTGCTTTTCCTTTCCTTTAGCCTTCTTCCGCTCCTTTTAGATGGGTGCTGCAGGATGTTTATCTGCCTGGGGCCCCCTGCAGTGCTGTCTCCCTCGTTTCTGCTAATACACCAGGAGATTCCTTTGTGGTGGAATGCCGAGACTCCTGGTGGTTTTCTGAGCTCAAATTTAAAAAACTTTTAAAAAACCCAACCAACTGCACCCATATATAGATGGCAAACTTAATCAATCAATGTTGTGTGTCTTCACTGATCAGTCACTCCCCCCCCCTTTGCTGAAGGCTAAGAAAATGGGTTAGTATTTTTTAGCAATAAGGTATTTTTCAATTAAGATATGTACATTGATTTCTTAGACACAACACTATTGCACATTTAACAGATAACAGTATAGTGAAAACATAACTTTTATATGCATTGAGAAACCAAAAAATTCATGCGAGTCACTTTATTGTGATATTCGTTTTATTGTGGTGGTCTGGAATTGAAGCTGCAATACCTCCAAGGTTTGGAGTACTCTGGAGTACATAACCCACTGGATGAGAAGTGACAGCCACGAGGTGACGGGGGAAAGGTGTGGGAATCTTGCCTACCAGAGATACTGGTATTTGGGACACAAAACTGACCCAAGGGGTCCACACCATCTGTAGTCAAAAAAGGCTAGTGGTGGGAGGGGGTAGAATAAGGGGCTGGCATCTGTATCTTGGAGACAATCCCGTAACTGGCTTTGGGGGAGGAAGGCTGGGATGTAACAGATTTACCAACTCTTCCACTGAATGACTACACATCCCTTGGGAGTAAAGTAATGGCCCAGCCTTGGATTATTCCAGGGCTACCAGTTTACAGACCACTGGCCTAGTGAACCAACTTTACTAAAGGTGGGAGAACTGTCACTTGAAGGTTGTTCATGCCCTTTTTTGTTTTTGCCACAGAAAAATCATAAAACTTCTACTAAGTAATGGAAGCATTTCAATCTCCACTGGTAGAAGGGGATCTAGTAATGAAGAGATCACAAAAGTATTAGTGATTATTATTAAATAATGTGATGATGATGATGATGATGATATTATTATTAAATAATGTAATAATAGTGAAATATCAGAATGGACAAGGGGCAAGAGGAAAAGCACTGTTAAGAACTTTCAGCTACCTTTAGCAGGCAGCAGCTGAATATTCAAATTTCTCAAAGAAAAGAAATATACCGTAGAGAAAAGAGGATTTTTCACCATGACATTTTGAAGGACAGCATGGTAAGGCTACAGGCACATAAAGATCTACACTTATTCACCATAAAGATAGTAGGACTTTCAGCTTAATGTTGAAAGGGTTCACTCAATCTGAGGCATAAGACTTAGGTGGAATGTGATCATTGTTTTCAAATACATGAAGGGCTACAGGGATTAGATTCGCTTTGCCTGAACCCAAATGTGAAAACTACAAGCAACAGCTGCAGAGAGGGAGATTTAGATGCTACGTAAAGAAAAACCTTTAATGATTACAGCCATATCTAAGGTGAAATAAACCATACCAAAAGGGTTGGGACTCCCAGAAGATCTTCAGCAGAAGCTGATTGAGACTTTTTCAGGGATGTTTGTTGATTTCATTAATTGACTGATTAAAGAAGGAGTTCCTATTCAGATACAGGTTGGCCTAGATAGCCTTTTAGATCTCTTCCAGTTCTGAGCTTCTATAATTCCTCCTCATCTGACAGCTCAGACAAGACAAAACTCCGCCAAACCCCAATGTGCCCAGACTAGCTTTAGAAGAGAGGCTTTGCTTCTGTTGGTTTACTTCATTTTTAGAATAAGTAAGATACTGTATATACTTCAACATACCACCTGCTTAAGGGCTACTGTGTTAGAGAAAAGTGGGTTCATACTTACCCTACTTGAGGTTTCCAATAAAAACTGGAATGTATTCTGTATAGCTTGGCATGTCTCTAGCTCAGTCCTGCTGAATGCTATTAAATAATCCTTCAGGTGATCATATACATTCCCGTCAAGGGCCTATATGAGGGAGAAGAAAAACAAAAGCTAAGTGATCACGACAAAACTTTGAAGGATGATACCTCTCAATATCACCATAAAGAATCAGGCAGCTTTGATACAGGAGACCAGGAGGTCAGAGGCCCAGCACTGCATTACACCACGTGATTCTGGACAAGTCACTGATGATAATAACATGATAACAGCTGACACTTATTCCATTCCAAGCTAATTCCATTCAAATAATTGGGTGCTAGAAGGGACCCTGGAGATTATCTAAATTCTAGTTCTCTATTTTACAGACGAAGAGACTTGCCCTGGATCACACATCTGATAACCAGGGGACCAGTCTGGGCCTGGTATTCTTTCCCTATACGACTCTCTCCTCTGAGCCTAAATTTCTTCCTTGGTAAAATGAGAATAAAAATTATACTAGATAATCTCTAAGGTGCCCTCCAGATCTGACATTTTAATTCCATACATTCTATCCTTAAATATTTTAAGCAAAAATATTAGGTTCTTCAGGACACAGCCATGAGATGACACAATAGAGCCCTAAAACTATAACCTATTATTAAATATACATTTCATCCAGTTATGTAACGTGTCCATAGCAAACTGCTGATGTCACAGTTAGATAAAAGGCTTTGCCTTGGGGTATGTTCTTTATGTGAAGTAAATGATCTTCTCAATAAGAATACATGTAACTTACCTGCAACCAAGGCCCAGGGTTTTATACAGATGTTCTTGGTAGGCAGTCACACATCTTTGTTTTTGCAGTCACCAGTTTTAGATATTTAGATAAGAACACATACAGCTATAGAATCAACATCCCTGCCCATGCCAGTTGGTACTTTCTCAACCACTTAGAGTAGCCTTGCTGTGGCATGAAGTGCCACACTCCCAGGACGTATCAGAGGTGGGCTTCTAGTGTACCTGTCTACCCACTATTCCACATCAATGTCAGTTATTGTTTTGGTGGTTGTTCTTTGGAAGTGCTTTCCAGGAGCTTGCCGGGATAGAGGCCAAGGGAACCCTCAAAATAATTCCAGAAAAAAATACTGTATGCCATATCCTGGTATGCTTCTGAAACAACATCTATGCTGAAGAGTAAAATAAAGTCTAGAACCTGTAGAGACAGAGGGTGCTTAAATCAAAAGCCTGTTAAATGCCACTGTCCTGATAGACCCAGGCTATGGAGCAATCTTGCTAACTTTTCTCCCACTGCAGAGCGAGAGGCTAAGTCCTAGTCTAGGAACTGTTATTTGAGTCCTAAGGCTGCTTTGTCAACTGTAACATCTACTCAACACTGATGTGAGTTCTGGGACAGATATGACCTATCTGGGGACTGAAGAGGGAGCCCCTCAATTATGTCTTACCCCTCTAGAATTAGCCAGCCTCCAGGACTCCACTGACCCTGGTCATTGGTTGGGAACGTCTATCCTGCCACAACACATACTCCCCTAAATTCAGGGAACAAAAATCACAACAATCTGTCACTGACACCACAAAGGGTGTGACAATCCACTGCTCTATGGCTCCCTGCTTCCTTACCTATCCACAGCAGGCCTATCCCCTCTCCATCTTACTTGACTTGGGTCTACCATTGAGCTTTCTAGAACACCAGTTCTATTGTTAAACTACCCTTCACAGTGGATCTTTGCCCTCTTTCCAGAAAACACTTTGTACACATTTTGTATTTTATTTCTATACACACATTGTTTCTCCTCAATAGGAGACTCAATCTTGTCTTTATATACCCCACACACATTACAGACATCAATAGAACTTGATGAACTGAAATGAGCTAATGTGAGTCACACAAACACCAACAATTACCCAAAGCCAAAGTTTCTGCTAAGAGCGCCTGCTTGAGAGGGTAGGTCCTATGCGTAGCCACCGACCAGAGTTTACAGACAAGTTGCTCTCCTTTCCTGGCTTTGTAATTCACAGACAGAAGCTTCCTGGTTTTGTTTTGTATTTGTATTTGTCTTCAAGAGGCCTCCTAGCTTTGAAACAATGAGATTCCGTACAATAGCACTCTGATAAATGCTTCCAATTTTAAACTTATTTTAAATGAAAGATTCTAATCCAAAAGTTGCATTGTCATCTTATGCCTTTACCTACAAGAACTTCAATAAGAACTAAGGCTTTGCTTTTACTCTTAAGAAATGACTTCATTGCCACTAACTCACTAAATGACTGCAGAAGAAGCAAATTTCATTTTGTATTTATATTTCAGTCTGACATAATTTAGTCATTATTACAAACGACAGAAGTAGAGGGGCAACACATTAGCCATTTGATATCAAGAAATTTCCAACTGGCATGTATAGCTCTTATTATCAGCAACTGGGCACTCTAGGCCACACCAGATCAGCCAAATGACAGTCACTCTTCAGGCACCTTACACAGCTCTGCTCCATCTCTGCATGTTGTTTGGGAGGTACCTGGAGCTCTCTAACACATACTGGCTATGTAACCCTGGGTAAATTGTGTAACCTTAGGTAAGCTGCTCAGCCTCTCAGTGCTCAAGGCAGAGGTACTGCCCTCCATTGGCAAAGGAGGTTACCTACCTCATCATGGAATTCTTTACATCAAAGACATCACAGATCCAGTCTCTAGCCCTAACCCTATATGCAGCTCTTAACATTTTATAGCTACTAATGGGAAATGTGGGCTATCCATTGATACTTTTACTATGTGACCAATTCACCTTCTCTGGTCATACACTGATGTCATGTTGATGACATTAATTCTTCATGGTTCATATACAGCTTCTTACTCATATTCTACCATGTGACCCAGCACCTCACAAAATGATGTGTTTCTTGCTTCAAGGTATAAAAAAGCCCAGTTCTTTTAACTTCTTTATTTGTCTGTCTAAGAAGAATCTGTGAATTATCCTCCTATTCATTTAAAACTTCAGTTTGTTTCCCGGTTTCAATTCTGGAAATTATGTCAATATAAATTCCTCTAGTAGTATGCCCACTTAGTCACTGGACAATGATCTAGAGAGTGCTGTTCTCAGTGCTAAGAAGGGTCATTTCGAATTTTGTTTTATGGGCTACCAGAATGAAATAATTCATCAAGTGGCCAATCTACTGTTAAAAGACTCTTTTCGTGCTTAGTGGGCATCAGAATGCAGGTATATCCTTTCCCTCAGGACTATACCCAAAGTTTTTCCACCATGGTAGAACCTGTTATAGCTTTTGTTCCATTGGCAAAGCCTTTGAGGGAGCAGTGTTTCCTCCACTCTATGATGAAGCCTGAGAATAAGACTTTATAGTAGTATTAATGTTTGTTGGCTTGAACTTAGAAACTATCTACACCTAGTTCAGTCTGCTTAATTTTACATATAAGTAAACCGAGTCACACAGAGTCTAAGCTACTTGCCCAAGATCACTAAATAAGTTAGTGGCAAAGCTAAGACTAGAACTCAAGGCCTCCTGATTCACAAGTTTCTTTCACTGTATCAAGTTTATCTTTTCAATAACCTATTAATTTTCCCCTGTATCTGCAGGGAAAAGAGTAAAAATCCTACTCAAACCTATCTTATCAATACATGGATTTGTATGTTCCACAGGTAAAATTCTGTTCCCTGAAACATAAGCTCACACACAAATCCACAGGTGGTAGTCCTCACTCTCACTGCCAGCCCTTGCAAAGAGGTTCTATTCTATTTCAATATTTGATTTAGAAAAATTCCACATTTAGCCAATGCTTCATTTCAACAGTTTTGCCTCATGTTATCATTGTCTAATTTGGAATGTATAGATAATGTTAGGTGGATATAGATGCTCGTTTTTCAAAAAGAAGAGAGATCTATTAAGCACACCATTTTCTCCCTTTTTTTCTTCTTTGTGGCTTTTTATTTTTGTTCTGATTCTTCTTTCACAACATGACTAATGTGGAAGTATGTTTAATATTATTGTACATATATAGCCTATATCAGATTGCTTGCTATCGTGGGGAGTGGAGGGGAAAAAAAATTTGGAACTCAAAACCTTATAAAAGTGAATGCTGAAAACTATCTTTACACGTAATTTGAAAAAAGAAACTATAAAGTAGAAAAAACATCTTTAAAAATATAAAAACCTACAATGTCAAAAAAAAAAAAAGAAGAAGAAGAAAGAAAAAAGAGAGATCTACTTTTCAATCTACATTAAGGAAACTTGGGAGACTTTAGCCAGACTGCATAACCACAACAAGGCAGCTACTGTCTATCTTAGTGTTCATTTTCAGAAGCATCTGTGAAATTACAACAAAGGCTTGGGAAAGTGAGAGATAATTTTCTTTTTCCCAATTCATAACAGATTAAACTTTTAATTAATACCACAAATTCCAAGGAATATGAGTTCTCCTAATACAACAGACTTAATGGAAAAAACATTTTATCAGGTAAACTTTTTTGAAGCATTTTCTACTTCAGTGATCATGAATTATACGACTTTTTACTATATATTGAACTTCTGTTCTCATTCAATATATCAACATTCTCTCCCTTGCCCACCATTGTGTCACGAGATTATACATGAAGTTCATTCATGTTCAAAAAAGGATGAGGTCACTGGCTTTAGTAACCTCTTATTCTTATATGAGTTGGAAAGGACTTAAAACATTTTCTAGGTCATTTCCAGTCCAAATGGGTCACCATTTATGCCCCAAGCAAAAATTTCTTATACCACAGTCCCGACATTTGGTCACCTAATCTTAGTCTGGCAATGAAAGCTCCTCATAGCCTCACCTCTTCCTACCTATCAAGTTCTGTTTTACTTTACTCTCTTCCCTATCAACTACACTACCCTACCTGCTATTGCTCACACACTCTATCTCCTGACTACCCCAAATAAGAATAACTGTGAACTGCTTAGCACGGTACCTGGAAGATGTTAAGTACTACATAAATGTTAGTTGTTATTGTTGTTATTATCATTATTATGATTTGCAGTATCTGTCTCCCTCACTGGGCTCATTCAGTTCAAAGACCAGCAGGCTTTTCCAGATTCCCATATTTCAAT